GTAATTTATTCACGCCAACACACGCCTGCTGGCTATGTACGGCGCGCGCAGTGATTCGACTTGGTTTATCAGGAATGACTTTCGTGGCTTTTATAGATGATTTCTGATCTTTCGAAGATGTTTCCTTCCTCGCTTTCTTTCGTTCTTGTTAGTATTGTTAGGTATTGCTCTCAAGAAATGGCTTTTTAATCTTTAGTTTTCTTTCATCTTTTTCTGGGCAAATTCTCTCCAAAAGTCGATCAGTGGCTTATCACTGAAAACAGTGAATAGTCACTGATTTGCAGTTATAAGTAAGTAATTATAATAAACTTACTCTCTAAAAGTCAATCAGTGACTATTCTTTAAATCAGTGGCTGTGTAAAGTTATAAGTATACTGCGAATTTCAGTAGTACACTTATAACTTTAAATCGGTGACTATTGACCGTTTTCAGTGATAATCCACTGATTGACTTTTAGAGTGTAAGTTTATTATAGTCGCGGTATACTTATAACTTTAAATCAGTGACTGTTCTTTAAATTAGTGGCTATTTCAAGTTATAAGTATACTGCTAATTTCAGTGGCATATTTATAACTTTAAACCGGTGACTATTCACTGTTTTCAGTGATAATCCGCTGATTGACTTTTAGAGAGCAAGTTTATTATAATTACCAAAAATTATATACCAAGGAATTATTATAATTGCCATCAACGTCTTATTAAGTGCTCGTTATCTTATAATACATGTAATTTATTCATGCTAATGCACACCTGCTGACTATGTTACGGCGAGCGCAGTGATTCGACTTGATTTATCAGGAATGACTGTCGTGGCTTTTATAGATATCGATCCTGATCTTTCAAAGATGTTTCCTTCCCCGCTCAAGAAATAGCTTTTTAATCCTTCGTGCGTTTCTTCCACCCTTTTCTGGGCAAATTAAGCTTATCGCAATTACCCAAAATTACCAAGGAATTATTATAATTGCTAGGAATGTCTTACTAAGTGTTCGTTATCTTATAATACGTATAATTTATTCACGACAACAGATCTTTTCGTTTATTTCTCACATAGCATTCTCGCCTAGAACGTATTATATATTGGATTTCATTCTATTTCTCTTCTTTCTCAAGTACCGTACTCAACTTGTATACTAAATTTGCTCGTGTACGCGACGTTATATCAGGCTTGTGAACGTGGATGTTTATCGAGCGAACTTTTAAGGGTCGACGATCTATTATTCAGAAGCAACTTTGAGGAAACGTTGTACGTAGCTCCCATCCGAATCTGACATTTCACTATCTTCTCGCGCTCGTTTTATTTATTCAGCATTTGATCAGAAATAGAGAAGTCCTTTTATCGTAACCCATATAGAAGATCGCCTCTTGCGAAAGACAGTCGCGTCGTCGCAGTGCAGGATCGCGTCGCGCAGTCGAATCCGCAAAATTTCGTTGGAATCCAGATAAATCTGAATGAAAGTATAACGCGGTCCGGAAGGTATCTCGCGTTAGAGGGAAGATCAGCATTGGAATTGCGCTCGATCGAAACCGTCGTAAGGGTTTATCGACGGTTCCGGGATGATCCGGACGACCGGATACACCTGACAATCCGAGAAAGACAGGAAAGCGCGCGTAGTCGACGACACCGTGTCACTTCTCCGCTCGCTATAGGAAAAGCGTTATTCCGCGTTGGAGCGCGTCACGTTCGCGGCACGCCGGACGCCGGACGAACCTGCGAACTTGTCCCCGACGGTTACCAGGTACGTTTCCGCGAGCGTTGCGCATTTACAATGTTGTTACGGGGCGCGGGCCCGCCCGAGCGTGTGAAGGCCCCGTGTCGGTGTGCGCTTAATATGCGCGCGGGCGTTAGGGGCCGCGATGCGTGATTCAACGAGGGTTCTCACGAGCAGGCCGAGGTGTGCGAGGCGCGAGGTGCGAGGAACGAGCGGGCCCACGGAGGAAAGAGAGGAAAAAAAAAACGCGGCGAGAACCGTGGGCTGGAGGAAGACAGCCGTGAAAGGGGTGGGGCGGCGGGAGGGATGAGGGGCGAGTGGTGCTGTACGTTTGCGGGAATGCGCAACGGTACACGCCACATCGTTTAGGAATTCACGAATACTTTAAACGGGAGTAAATTCCTGGACTTTTCTTATGTCGCCGTCGCACGCACGGCGCGCCACAATGAGGCAGGCGGCGGCCGCGAGCGGGAGGGAAGCGGTTGAATTCGAGAGGAACGCGCGCGAGCGCCGGGGCGCAGATACCGTTCATTTCGCGATGATGCCAACGCGACGAGGTGTAGGGCGCTTCGCAAGTTTCACGCTGTTAAATGTAAAAATCCCCCGGAATTCAGAGGCGCAAACCTTGGGACCGAGCACCGTCAAGGTGTTACGCTCGGTGCTAACACACACACACACACACAAAAGCGCAACCGTGTCCGGATGCTGCGCGCAGAGAGTGCTCTTGATTGGTGCTCGGGCCCGAAAGTCTGCATCTCTGCCCCGGATACGTTTCCATCGTGGATATAAATCTCCGCGCGATGATTCCGCACGTCGACTCTCGTTCTCGCCTCGATATCTATATTTCTGGAACACGTCAGGGCGGGCCTCGCCATTCATATACATATATATTCGAAACGAATTCTTGGAAGGATACTACACCTGCGTCTCTCCGTCGAGAGCGTTTTATTTTATAATAACTCAATCTCGGACTCGCACCCACGTCACAGGCCCCGCCGAAAAGCGAGCGGGCGATCCGCCGGCTATTTATTAGCCCTTTGCGGAACGGTGACCGCGAGGTATCGTGTCGGCCGAAACGAGAGTAGAGATCGAAATCTCGCCGACACGTGTATGACATTTGCACACCGGCGCGGCGCGGCGCGGCACGGCCCGACGCGGCTCCTCCGCTTGGCGTGTGCACGATCCTCATAGTTTTGCATTCCGTTCACGTACCCCCGCAAGCAATTAGGTTCGTCTTCGGATTCCTCGCATGCTTTTCGCCGACTCGTGCGACGTGCCATCGCACGGACATTAGCGCGAAACCATATTCCAGAGGCTCTCGAAATTGAATAATTCTCGATGTACCGTTGCGCATGTATTCGCGCCGACTATTGTAGGATCATTGTAAGAGGCCTCTTTAGCTTTCAAGGATTTAAAGAAATGTTCGGTATTTCGGGTAAGAAGAGAGAGAGAGAGAGAGGGGGGGGGAGAGGGAGAGAATGTGTATGTGTTGGTTTCTTTGTCCGAAAATTATTTATGGAAGGAAACATTTTGGTTTTGCGAATTTTATTCGTAAAAATGTAGAATTCGGTGGACTGGTGGTATTTAGGGGCTACTTATTCATCTCTTTTCGCATTTCAGATTATGTATTATTCCGTTCTCAATGCTTATTTAGTCAGCAAATTGCTTGTAAATAGTGATTACACGAAGAATGTCGAAAAATAGAAAGTGAGAGAAGATTTACGGCTCTAATGTATTCAATAGCTACTTTTGCATATATTATTCCAGTCGAAAATTGTAGACAGCGGTAAACACCTTAAATCGTCACTCAGGATATGCTAATGAACACAGATAACACTTGTACCGAATACTTTGCTGAATTTTAACGAAGCTGCTCATAAATATCTCAAAACTAGCTTTATTACCGAAGGCAATTCTCATGGGGCTTGTTTTTTTTTTTAAATAGATGAACGCACGGTTAATGATATGTATCGATCATCGTCGAAACAATATTAGATGGAAGCCTCATTATAGTCCGTAGCTTCTGTTACGACAATGGCTACTTGGCATTCACGTTATACTGCCGAGCCGATATTGTTCAGTACGCGCCACTGCCTCTCTCGCGAAGCACCATCCGCATACGTGGGATTCAATTGGAAGATAATGCGTCTTCCGTTGCATCTTGCGCTGCACGCACACGCGCCTGCCCCCCCCCCTCTCTCTCTCTCTCTTTCTTTTTGTTTCTCTCTCTCGTTGGAAGATGCATGTAATGCGCATGGAGATGCAGCACGTTTCTCCCCCGACGAGGAGGAGAATCACGAAGATGGATGCAGATTGAGACGATTACCCAACTATAAAATTTGCTTGGCTATTGATTTTAAAAAGATTCGATTTTTATTGTGCACAATAACAGAAAATTGAAATGAAATTTGCGATTCAAGGCGAGGTTTAAATATCGCCGCTACACCGATGCCCTTTAATTATAATTGTACAATATCCCGAGTCAAAATTTTTGTACTATTTTGACACTTTTAAGGATAATTTACATCTATTTAGCTGATCTATACGCCTATATAGACCAGCAATAATCTACTTTGATGACATTATATTTTTTTCTAAATTCTAAATTCTAAAAATTTACTTCAGCTCCTACTTAAAGGACCTACTTTAAACATGATAATCTCTTTAGGTTGCCAGTAATAAAAAACAATGGATAAGTTTAGTCGACCTTAACTGGCACTTGTTTAATAAATTAATAATATGTAAGATGAATCTGAGCACCAGAATATGTAAAACCAACCAACAATTGATCTTCCTACTACTACAATATAGAAGGTACGATATATTACCGCAACACGTACTGAATTTTAAATTTAACTTCTTCTACAAATGTGTGCTTGATAAGGACCTAAACCCTTGGTCGAAACGTCGTACTGCATATTTTTTATTTTTAACTTATCAAACAAGTGCCAGTTAAGGTCGACTAAACTTATTCATTGTGACCTACTTTAATGCTAAATTGGCAAAAGTAAAAATTTCCGACACTATCAGTTCAACTTCTTTTACTGTCCCAGGTCCTACTATATGTAATAGAATTAACAGTTCAACATAGGGCCAAAATTTCGACTCGGGATGATTTGTCGTATCAGCACCTTAGATATATGTGTTGCAATATTATTACCTTAACTTGTTCAGTCGTCAAAGTGTAGTCGCACCGTCGTAAAGACCAGGAGGCATCGGGCTCGTATGAAAATTTTGAAATCTATTTACATTTTGTTGTTACTGAAGTGCGTGTACATTTGGTGTGTTTAGGCAATCCTACAAAAGTCCTCGGTATCGGTAGAAATCGAGGTGAGACCGCGACAGCTGGTGCCAGACACTAACTGCTTCATCGACTACCTGCACCAACTACAGACCATCGTAAGAGCGACTTCCGGCGCGCAACCAATCTACACTCTCATGGTGCCGCTCGTCGGTAAGTGAAAACAAAAGTTTAACGTATTATTAACGCGGAAAAGGGATCGGCGGGAGACACGTGCGCCGCCGCTTGGCCCCTGACCTCGTCCATCATTTTTATGACCGAAGATTGCCGATCATCTCGCGAGAAGATGGATGTGCTACGGTAGTGCGCGGCTCGAGTTAACACTCTTTTTCCTCTCTTTGAGAAGCGCGTGAAATATTCGCCAATAAATAAAGATGGTGCCTTTAATCGCCACATCAGGCGGGTCTCCTACACCGGGTGGACAAAAATAGAATTTCAATTTGCCGAATATCGTAAACTTAATTCTATCTTATCGCGCTCTCCCGCCCGTCCGTGGGTCTTCGCAAAAATTGTCTACCTCTAAACGATTGAAAACGCGGAAGTTACGAGACGACTATTTATTGAATGTAGAATCCTTGCAAATTTTAATAGGCCTCTTATCCGTTTCTACACATAAATTCTTTCGAGTGTCTGTATATGTTTTTTAAACATGAGAAATACCGCGTACAACCGAATCGGTCGGTTGCAATCCTTATCGGTCCGTCGAACGCGTATCTACGAGATATCTAAAAAACTATACAATGACCGAACACACCTTCCCGAGGGTTGCGCCTAGATAATGCCATCGAAGAGAAATGACGCGACCAGTCGGAGGTCGCGCCTCGGGTCAAAGCAATCGCCGGTGCGCAAACACACTCGATTCGCCTTGTCTCCGACGTAAAGCGAAGCTGCAGAGCCGTCGACGATCGTCGATTCGTCTGATCCCTAGCGGAGAATAGTTCATTAGGTCATCGTCATTACGCGTCACTTGTCGCGGAGCTTTCCCTGCTCTTCCCCCCCTTCCCCCCTCTCTCCCCCTCGTCCTCGTGAGAATGGATTGTCCCGCATACCCCCGGCGGACGCTTTGTCCGCTCGTAGGAGCCGTTTGCCGGATCGAACTCCGACCGATACGGCCATTAACGGCGCTTGCGTCAGCTCCCGGTTCTCGACGGCCGAGGAGGATGATGACACCGAGGAATGCGAACCGCCGTCGGTTCCTCCGCTCCAATTAGCGTTGAGCAATTCCTCTCGAGCGCCGTCGATCAAGCCGCCGCGCATTGTCGGAGTGCGTTTCCTTTAACGGTCCCGCATCGGGAGATACGGCGCTCGAACGAAATCACGCTCCCGAGTCATCGTCGCGCTCGGAGAGCAGTTAAATCCGTAGCACTCCGCGGCGTACGGGCTCGCAGCCGTACATTACGTTCCGCTACGGAGGTATAACAGTACTCGCGCGCGCGCGCGCGCGCGCGCGCCACGTATACAATAAATATAATTTATATAAATTTCCATTTGTTTTTGTCGCGAGCTTTTCTCGCTGGAGCTGAACAGGACGGAATAATCTCACTTTAGAATCTTGATGCGCGATTCGCTTGATTGTCGGAGTATTTAGCGTTGAAAGAGAAATTATTTTGTAACCGACGACGGCTCTCGACGAGGCTCTCGTCGTGGAGGAGGCAGACGCGGGGATCTATATTCATGGAGAACGTAACGACGCGCAACTTTGATACGAGTTGTTCACGACGCTCAATTTGACTTGTATGATATGCACGATTAACATAATAAGTTACGTCATTAGAATCTGTTGCTTATTATTCAACGAACGTTATTCGATGCATCGGGGTAGCGGGAAGTGCGCTAGCGTCGTATAAAATAACAAACGGCCATCGAAGAGGTATAATTCTAAATTAATTAGAAATATATCCCGTTAAGCCACGATTAAGTCGATTAAAATTCAGCTGAAAGTTCAGTTTATTGTATCTCTTGAAGTCCATTTATATTTAGTTGTACTTGCCGAAGATAACACTCTTGCACTGGGAAAACTGTTCGAGTAAATATAATCGGATAATCTAATTACATAATAAGAAACGGATGTATCCGATTAAATTGTAGAGGACAGTCTCCTATCATTAGATAGGCTTCTAATACGGGATAGCGGGGTCTCTGCTAAATTAGTAGGCATCATCGGTTGATTCCACCATGAATTTATTGCGGTTGGAGCGAGATCTGTTTGGAAAATTCATTGTTAGATTGTGTAATCGTCGCGAAAAAAGATTTATGATTGAATTTGGGCGTTGAAAACCTGCTATCTCGTATTATTAGAAAGCTATCGCGTAATAGAGGACTCTAAAAATATAATCGGCTTTGCAAATTTTATCGGTAACTGCATCTCATTGGATATCGTCGAAATTTAATCGGAAAAATTAACCATCGGAAACTATTTGATTGGCGATGAAAAGGTTTCTCAGTGCATGTTCCTTTCTTTTACAAGAGTTAGATTTAATTGGAGCCGTTGAACAGACGGCTATCACGGCGATGGAATCATCAAATCACGCGTCACACTCTGATCGGCGTGTTTTTACAATACGACAATGCGTACAGGATGCTCGTCTCTGTCAATCGGTCGATGATGATGACAACAACGATGACGCATGGCACGACGGAACGACCGGTTCTTTCTTTTTTAATAGTCGCGGTTTATAGACACTCGCTGCTCAGCGAAACGCAATCAGCGATAAATTTACAATCTTCCACGGCGCGGTCTGACATTTTCACGGTGTTTTATAGTAATGCGTCTGGAGTTACGGCTGCGACGACAAGACGGGCATTCGGAGCATTTATTGCCTCGAGCGCGTATATCTTAACCACTCGAGTCTCTAATTCAACGTGTAATGTATTCATTTTGCAAATACTTATCTTGGCGCGCACAATCGTACTGTATTCGGTCTTCAGACGCATTGTACAGTGCTGGACAGAATGGTTGCGACACTTTTTATTTAGTGAGTTTAGAAACGCGCATTTAGATTTTTTTTTCGGGTTTATCGAGGGGTAAACCGCTGACCAAAATCATGTACACCAATGCCCAGGGCATTACTTTATCTTATTTTATCTTTATAATTCCCCAAAAAAAATAGCTAGTAATGTCTAGTAATGCCGCAAATCTGTACACCACAATGCCCTCGGCGGTTTACCCCTCGGGGTTCACGTTCCAAAACACTTTTTCTGGGGAAAATTTTACTTGAAAATAGATTGAAAACGCTTAGAATGGCCACCGAGTAAAATATTCCTCGGAGAAGAAGATTTTGGAACGTAATCTGAAAACAGTGTCGCAACCATTCTGTCCATCACTGTAAATGTATATCTACCTACAAACGTTTTCTAGCGAGGTTGTAACAATATTTTACTAAATTAAATGAAACATCATATCAATCGAAGAAGCTTCCTATAAGATGAATCGTGAAAGTTGTACGCGACATACTTGCTTTAGCGTTCAATCCAAGACAAAGCTGGGCGTCAAGGTTCAAGGCCGCTGAAAATCGAAAGGCTCATCAATCATCCCCATTGTCAATTAACGCTGATCTAATCGTTGCTTCAGCAGAATCGATTCACGGTGCCAATCTGGACGCGGTATTTTGCGGAAGCTTACGTCACTGTCCGTCCTATTTCGTCATGAATTCCCCGTCGATGCTCTGGCGGAAGAGCTTCGAATGCCAAAACGTTTGTTAGGCGAGGTCGTGGCCGTTGCGATAGGGCAAGGACAAACGGCTTCGCCTCGAGGATTTCGATTGTCGTGATCATCGATTAGTCACGGCTTGTCACATTTGTTAGGTCTTTTGACCGCGTTGCTTCATTACTCTCCTTTGAAAATAAAAAAAAAGTTATGTGGAGCAACACACGTCGGGTAAAACGCAGGCAGGCGAACGCACTTGAGAAAATTAAGACGTAAATATCTAAGAAACGGGTCGCTGAAACGCGATGTCTCGGTGATGTTACATCAAAATGGATGACGAAGTTTGGAAAGCTAAGGTCCGGTTTCACCAACGTTATTCAATTTTAAGCCTAGCTTAATTCGCCCTTTGTCTCTTTCCAACTGTTATTTTAGAGAGAGACAAACGTGAATGAAACTAAGATTAAAGTTAAGCGACGTTTGGTGAAATTGGGCATAAGAGGCTGGTTGTTTTTTTTTAATTGCATCCACCGTTGTAGAACAGTTATTTAATTTATTTCAGTCGAACGTCTAATCGTGCATAATTCGAAGATTGGTTATTGCACGTGATATTTCAGCAACGGAATATTTATCGCGCGGTGATAAATGACGTCTGCAAGCCTAGGTGATAAATAATGCCGTTTCCCCCCCCCCCATTCTCTCACCCCGCAGTTATTCTTTCTATTTCCGTCCCCCTGTCTCGCAAACTTCATCCACTACCGACTGCCCTTGCCAGTTCATTCGGGGAGTCGGGCCTGGATGGAGGATAAGGCTGGCAGCCGGTTAATTTATCGAGTCGGGGAAAGTTTGGCGAATCTCCTATTTGCATTTTCCGTAGATTGCCTCTCTGTGCGCGCTCGCGCGGCAATCTGTGGCGAATAAAGTCGATAAAAGCTCTCTCTCACAGCATTCATGATAATCTCTCTCCCCCCCCCCCCCGTCGGCCCGTCCCTGCGCTAAAATAATTCAATGCGTCTGTTCGTGCGGAGAGAAGAAAAAAATTGGAGGATGACAAATGAACTACGAAATGAAACGAAATCGAACTCTTTATCACGTTATCCCTTTTGACGGGGATTAAAAAACTTTTCCATTCTCGTTTCAAAGATTCGGTTGTAAATTTTATCGAGTTCCTACACTGGAAAAAAAATCCGATAGATTCAACCAGTCGTCTGGTAGAAAATGGACGAATCTGAATTCCTTTAGGATTTATCAGATGTGTTGTAGCGAAGTCTAGCAAACTTCTGGTTATGAAATATCGAGGCCTATCGTGCTAAGTAGATATTCTGTTTGGTTCAGCCAAAAATACATTTTATCATACGTGTCTTGTTGATACAATCGAAGCATTTTTCTCCGTGCAGAGGTGACGGATTATTCAAGTATCAAAATAATTCCTTAAGAAGAAATTCTCTTTCCTCGCGAATGCGCCGGTAATAGTGGCAACGAAAGTCTAAATAAGAAAGTTTAATGAGATCGCGCCGTCACACTCGCTAGTGGGGAAAAAAAAGACACGTTTTCTGCCCAGTCTTGTTGCTTGTTCGCTGCGTGCGTTTCTCCCTTTCCTTTTTGTCGTTCGTGCGGGTCGCGGGGTCGAAAAACGAAAGTGCGCCTTCATGCAAAATCGGCCTGCCCTTTGACCTCACCGGCCAGTCGGCCGACCGCGGCCCGTCTGGCTCTCCGATGGCGAGCAACGGTGAGCGTTCACAGTTAGGTTCTCACGGCTCATACATGAATGCATGTATGCGGCTTGAAACGCTCGCGATGGGGCTCGATGGCAGCGGCGCACCGCGGGCTGCCTCCTGGCCTACGATCGGGTACGTGGGCGATATCGGTACGGCGGTCGCCGATCGTCGGGCAAGTGGCTTTTCAACGCGGCTATGATGGCCCTTCGCTTTAACAGCACGTCGCCATCCCGTTTTCCTCAATCTCGGCCATGAAGACGAGATCGATCCCGCCGAGTGAACGTCTTCGCGTAGGCAACGTGAAGCGGTAGTCAGATATGGTTCTTTTTGTTTCGACTCAATTTGTATTTGAGAGGGAGTTTCAATTCGAGTTAGCTGCGTGTGTGTAACTGCGTAACGAGTTGCGGAGAAGAGGCAGGAAATCTTTCAATGAATCAGTCTCGATGTCTGCGTTTAGATCATCGATAAATTATGCGAATGAAATTGAGAGGAACCTCGTGCTGATCACTTTCGTACTTAAAATTTTATAAAATTTTGCATATTTTTAAAATAAAAGGCACGTGTAAGTTTAATTTTCTTAGGTAGAGGAAGTTCTATCATGAGATGGGCTTCTAATACGAGATAGCAGGTTTTCAACGTCTAAATTCAGTCACAATTTTCTTTCGCGGCGATTACACAATCTTACAATAAATTTTCCACTAAACAGATCTCGCTCCGAGGACAATAAATTCATGGTGGAACCAACGATGCCTGTTAATTTAGTAGAAACCCCGCTGTCTCATAATAGGGGACTTTCCTCTATACTCAATGATGAAACGTTACAATTAATCGAGCGGTATATACCGGTGCTGAACGAATCATAATCACGTGTCTTATAATTGTAAATGATTTTTTACGCGCAATTCCTTTTCTTCTCTTCTATAAGGATTAAGTTTTCATGATCTATGCTCTGTTTCGTCAACCCTAACAGCGATCTTGATTCCTTTGTGACTCGCGCACAACGCGAATTTCAACACAGCCCTTTCGCGCGTGCTCAACAAGCGGAAATATTTTTTTGTTGCAGTACTAAATGAACTCGAAGGTCTAGCCCGAGGCGCCGATGCGAGAGATTGTCCTCCGGCGTCGAGAGCGGCTCTAAATCCCGAGCATGTGGCGCGAGTTGCCGAGAGCGCCAAGGCGGCACTGGCCTTCGCGAGGAGTCGAAATCCGGCGATCCGGTGCTTAACCACGAGGGGCACCGTTCTCACATCCAGCACTTTTACGGTCGAGGAAGACGTCAACAAGGTGAGTAAGAAGCTAGACAAACCTCGGCGATTCGATACGCTTACGTTCACATCTTAGGTAACTGTATTCGGCGTGCTGAGGTATTTAGAAGGCAAATTTGCATCGATCGTTGACCGCGAGTAGATGTAGGACTTCCAAATGAACAAGTCCTTTACCTCCTTTACCTTCCTGTTTTCGCTCAGCAGTCTCGAAAAATTCTCCGAAGCCGTTGCTGCGACTCGGAGAGGAAGTCGATGTTCCTCGCACTCGTCTTGCATTCTTCCTCTAGCCTAGGACGAAAATTTGATCAATTATTTCTGTTCTATTACCCCTCTTGAATCTGATACCCCGTCGTCGTTAATTCCAACCGTCGCATCGGTACGTCTTACATTTTATCGAGCGGATGATGCGATTTCGAATATCAATTGGCGATTACGAATTCCGACAACCGAGTTGAACATACGCGAATTATTAAGGGATCGTTATTTTCATCGCGATTTCATGTCCGAACGCCCGCGGCGTGCAACGACAAGCGACACGATAAAGCGAATCGATTGTGACATCCAGTCGATAGGATTCCAACAGTTACAGGCGGAAAGTAGCCGCGGTACAGTACAAGCCAGTCGCTCCAAAGACCAATGGTAGCGAGAAGAGGTAGGCACGGACACGGTGTTCATTCAAGCGCGAATGTTATAATAACGAGCCGGGAACACCCACGTGGTGTACGTGCGAGGTATTTTCTGCGGCGTTTTGCCGCCCGCGCTCGATTATTCCCGTAGTTTTCGCGCTCGGGTCGGAGGCTCAATTTTAATGACAATTCCTGCCGTGAATTTCGAAAGCCCGGGTCTCCTTTTTAGCCACCTCCGCCGGCGCTTACACAGAACGTAATTATCTACCCGGAGTTCGTCGGTACATTCGGAATTTCGATCGTCTTGTTGCAGGACGGACTGACACGGAACGACGACAGGATATTGACTACGTGCCTCAGTCTCTGCAGAATTAACAAGGATCAGGCAAACGCAGGTAGGTACCGTCGAGTTGACGTCAGATCGCGTTGAAATATCTGTTTCACCGTCGCGATCATTACTCCCGTTTGCTTGATTAATCGCGCCGTATATCCGATATATTTTTACATTGCCGTTTGTAGAAAGAACATTTTTTTTCGTCCCCCCGGAGTCTGAATTTATCAGGGAACGCTCTCAGATTTATCGGGATGGCTAGAATCTTTTTTCTCTCCCAACTTTGTCTAGAGGCAATATTTCGCTAGTTCAAATTTATCAAAGACTTTTGGGACAAGAATAAACGAGTCGGTGTAGCGGGAGGTCGTGCGTAAGCTGAATAAAAAGAAATTGGGAAATCCCGGGTTTTGCCTCGACAGAGGAGGGACAGCCGAGGCGTTTGAGACGGGAGGTGGTTCTGCTCACGGAGGACCGGAACCTCAGGGTGAAGGCTCTGGCCAGGGACGTGCCCGTGAGGGAGGTTCCCGATTTCATGCAATGGGCTGGACTCGGCTGAGGCGGCATAACGTGATCGCGACGAAACTCCGATTTTCACTTGACGAGAAAATCTCCCGTGTTCCTGCCGCGCGAGCCCGACCAAACGTCAAACAAGACCAGGCGCAACGGGAAGAAGTAGAAAAAGGAAAATGAAGTTCCGCGCCAGATTCCTCGTGGCAAATCCGACCGTCGACCGTGCGCACACGACGTCGCTATAGCAGTCTGTAAGTCTGTCGCAGGTCGCAGGTTGGGTTCGATTATTCAGATCGTCTCTCCCGGCGGTATATATATATATTTTTTTTTGACTAAATTCTTTTTAATCCTATTACGGAGAAACCGCGAAGTGCGGTAAGCAGGAGCAAGTTCTACGGAAGAAAAAGCAAAGCGCGCGCGGCCGCGTAAAATTGCGAATGAAGTACGGTACGAATGGAACGGGGAAAGAAACAGGCTCGAAGCCTGTCGCTTGCCGTTTCGCTTGTCGGAAACGCGAGCTATTCGAAGGCTCCTCGAGAATGAGCGTGACACTACCTTACCTTGTACCCCTAACTGTTCCGTGTATCTCGAACGTGCAGAGATAAAAATCCCGAAGAGAGCCTTTTCACACGGGGACCGTGTAACGGGGCGGTCCGAAAGACACGTTGAATCCAGGACGTTCATCAGCCGTGGCGCGCACGCGAAGTAAAATCGAGAGACGACCGACAGGGACGTGAAATGTTTCCAAGAAAAAGCGAAGAAACGATTACGAGGACGGAGCTTTACCGTCTTGAAGTGCTGTCGCTGTTTGTAGATCGTTTGTATCGATAACAGCCGTCTATTGCGGCTGGTTAACCATTTTATATGATTTTGTTTGCCGATATATTTGCTTTGTTCGTGTGAGACGTTATTAAAACAATTTTATATCGTATGTACCGTGTGTGATTTGACGTGGCGCGACAACGATGCGTTCGCGTCATCGTTTTTGCCGGCAGCAGCGAAACGTGTCTTTTTTATCGTTCCGCGTGAGTCCACCGTGACATTTTCCACGAGGCGATTCTCTCCCCTCGTTTTCTTACCGCTGAAGTCATTAACATCATTACCTTTAAGTTGCCAAGTGAATTGTTAACGACGATTCGTCTCCAATGAATGACTACGCGTCGTCGGGATATCGACAAGATCGGTAACGTCAATCGATCAACATTGATCGCGCGCTCGATTGCCGTCGATTGGCCGCGGATCCCCGGGGAATATTAGAAACGATCGAAAATCGCTTACTTTGCAAAGTTGATGGTCAATTTATGTCTAACAACCAAATGCCCGCATCACAATTATATTCAATTCTTATTATACATATCAATAGTTTCAAATGAGATTGATTATTGATATTATAATCTCAGGCAAGATCGCTGGTGTTATCGACGCACGTGTTTTGCACGTAAATCCTTGATTTTTGCCATTGTTTTTCGATCGTTTTTAAGCCGAGAGGCGCGTCTCTTACTCATTGCTTACGAGTACTTTGTATAGCATATATATTGGCATCTATATAGTTGACCGGCTTAAGACTAGGAATTAACGTAAGGAAACTGAGCGGATTTTATTCCATGAGGAGGTGCACGATTGCACTAACCGCGGTGTTCTTTATAATATCAAAGATTAGCTTTTATCGATAAACGGAGAATAGATGTATCCTGCAAGTGTTGGGGCACGATCGTTATATTATAAACATTCCGTGTCGGAATCGTATTGACGAGATTTTTTTTTCCCATCGACGTCGATCTAGCGACGTCACTTTGCCTGGCTTCGTTATTACCGAAGCGCAATCAAGACCACGATTGTCGAGTGCGAAGATTCGCGAAATCGAGATAACTGAGATCGCTTCGTTCTCTCACGGCTAACTGTCGCAAGCGCGAACGCGCAATCCGCGCGCCGATCGCTCGGTGTTTTCTTCGCGTTTTTTAATATTGCTCGGTTTTACCAGATACGTATACGAGTTTACCTTTCGGGAGAAAGTTTACCTTTCGGAAGCGCACAGTGGTCGAGGCATGCGTGCGACCAGCAAGGAACTGCGGGACCGATGATTAAGTAGCGAACACGATGTCCTATTTTTCGACAGAGATAAGATAGTTACTTAATGCTCCTTAGTATATTAAAGAGTGCGTGTGCGTGTGTATGTGCGAGAGAGGCGGGGGTAAAAAACAGAAAAAGAGGGAGAGAATGACAATTAGATTAACGGAGGAGGACAGTCAGCGGAAAGAGAGGGAAAAAAAACGCTCGACGTACTAAAGACCGTACCTACAATAAATCTCGACGCTGTCCGCAAGTCTCGTCGGAATTCCTGCGAATTAAATCGAATCGGTAAGTAGAAGAAGTGCCCACCCACTGCACCGCTTTTGTTACACCGTGGTGTTCCGCTCGACAAACCACGCCGTTCAGGCAGAAGAAAGTCCCGTCGTGTAAGGTTGTCTGTTCAGTATTTTAAGGGCACGTAAGAAGCATATTAAAATATCTCTACCGATCTGTCGTGGGAAATCTTCTTTCTATTTAAACGACAAGAAAAAAAAGAAGAGAAAAATGTCGCTGTACAGGGATTCTGTCGCTACTCGCGGATTTAATTATATTCCTTCGAGGAGGATACGATCGCACGAATTCCCGAGTAGGATTCCGTGAATTTGCTTTTTGCGAAACGCGTTGAGGTCTTATTTAAGTAGACGTACTTCTTAATGTCGCTGTAAGAAGACGGTGAAGTAGCATTCGTCAACGATACTTCACAAGATCCAAGATCGGCACGTTGAGAGGATGGAGAAAGAGAAGACGAGAGAGAAAGAGAGAGAGAAGCGCAAGTTTCGCGCCTGCGAAGTTGTTCATATCTCTCGTCCTTCAGCGTGTCCGTTTGCTTTAACGTCTTTTTCATTTTTCCCCCCTTGTCACCTCCCCTCCTCCCTCGTCGCCGTTTTTAGCTCAATTTTTTATTCGAACCTCCACGGCGAGAGAAAGTGCGGCATGTCGACGGAGTTCGACGAAGCCCACTCGAAGCACCGACGATGTACACTGTCATTGTGTTTCACTAATTTCTAAGTATAGCCTTTCGTAGCCTTTTTAATGTGCGCGTTCGGTCGCCGTAAGCGACCGATAATTAATTCGATGGCAGACGTTCGAGATGTAAAAGAGTGCAACGGATGGGCTAGCGAAATCGCTTGCGCGAATGCGCCTTGCGATCGCGAGTACATGATGGAAATTATCGAGAGACACTTGTTTTCTTAAATCGACGGGCGGGAGACGCATATTTTTAACGACTAACGTCAAACGCGAGAAATCAGACTTGGGTCGAGCAATGTCTTAAAGTGTCATACATCCAGATAGCACGGAGACTCCGCAATGAATTCTTTTCGGAATCTGAATTATACATTTTTTCCATCCTACTTCTGTTCGATAAATTCTTAAGGGTTCGGAAAAACTCGCTTTTATGTCAAAACAAATTCTGAGTCCTTTTTCAGATCTAAACGACATTTTGTTCCTCTCTATAAGAATTCGCATTAAAGGCATTTTTTAAAATTTATATTGAACAGTTTACTCCGATGAAAAAAGAATTAAAAAATGAATCCCTTTTATTTCATAAGGATTGCAATCTGTGCCACTTAGCAAATTAATAAACAAAAACTTTGATTTCATAAAAAGCGATCTGTCACGTGTATGACTAAATGTTTATTATTACAGTGAAAAAAAACAATATCTGCACGAATTATCATTGACGGAAATAATGAAGGAGCGAATAATACATTGAATAATCAATGAACAATTATCAATAATGAATAATTATGAAAGCGCAGTACATGCTCGATCGGTCGTCGGTTCCTGAGGAAAGTGTTTAACGATAATTTACAATACTTAGCTTAGTACGGGATAACAATCAGGGTATAGTTTGCAATTGTGTACTCCGGGCATATCATACACACAGTATATTTACAATATCATTGCAATAGTTCTTTTCTGCAATAGTCATAGTAGTGCAATAGACACTCCACTCACGAATAAGCCACCTCGATAAGACTTATCCGTCCCCGAGCATCATAATCCATTTTCATTGTTTCGATGTAATATATCTTCACACTTCACTCACTCCGGTCTTTCAACTTTGAAATTGCATATGTCGATTCTGTGAGTAGTTGCCAGCTGCTCCAATCGTCTTACACGCGATCGAGTTTAGTTTATGTTAGCCCGTGCTTGATAGAAGAAGAAGAAGAAGGGGGGAGAGAGAGAGAGAGAGAGAGAGAGAGAGAGAGAGAGAGAGAGAGAGAAGAGAGAGAATATGTGCGAAAGAGAGAGAGAAAGATAGCTAGAGAGGTTGCCTGAGAAACCTAGGTAGACGGTTGACGTAAGATAGACGTCGTGGTTTTTAGAACTGATTTATCTCGGACGTGGATAAGCGAAGTCCCATGGTACATTCTCTCAACGCCCTCCGCTTCCGAGATAACTCTCACACCGTAAGTGTACCTATATCCATATTGTATATAGGTATATATAATTATATATAATTAAACACACTTATATATAATTATACATATATAAATACACCCACCCGTCACTGATTTTATGCTAGATTCTCGCAATATCTCTAATAAATCTATGTACGTGTATTATTATATGACGAGACAAAAGAACGCGATTCATTTGTATTTCGTCTGAGGAGAAGATATTTGCTGATCATGCGATACTACGACGACGACGACGACGACGACGACGACGACGACGACGATGACAAAACTGTGAGGGTGACGAAAGCAGAAGTTTTTAGGCTAATCGTTTATTATATATTATGAAAAATGTCGCTACTAATAGTGTTACCACTTTGAATATTCAATAAAAAGTTGAGACTAGCGTTATTACATTATATATCTTATACTTATAATTATTATAATTATATGATATTTACTATATGATGCTCTCTACTGTTTATTAGGGCGAGATCCTCATAATCTTGCTCTACATGTTCTGCTCGTTGCATTTCTTGCAAATTACTCGTTAATTATCGGACCCAAATTATTACCAAGTGTGTTTTAAGCATTCCTTTTTTGTTCTGTTTTAATTTTCAGATTCAACGGAAATGATAAGCCTCCGATATTTAATAATGGAGTCTGGTGGAAAAATGGCTTTCATAAGTCGACTCAAGTTGTTTTTTGTACTATAAAAGCCAAACTCAAAGCTTTATAATCGTATTCTGCACAGTTGAAAAATTTGTGTTGAATTTAACAGATATCACATGTCCCAAACGGTCCACATAAATTTTTGTATTAATTTAACATAATATGGATATGTTAAATTAACACATGAATGTGTTAAGCATTTAACACAAAAATTTTTGTCGGCATTGTTTTTAACAAGAAAACACAAATTTTCGAACTGTGTACAGATCGACATCTAATGTGCACTTGAAATCTTATACTTTGGTCAATGAATTCGGAAATTTTCAATTTTGAAACTTTGACTGTAAAACTTGTATACGAAAACTGAAGTCGTTCTGCCGCTAAATTCTTCGTGACAAAGACATGTTTATTAACAGTACCATAGTAGCAGTTGATAATATTTGCTGACAGGCTAATATCTATTCTACTCTACAGGATGCACCGTATAATTTTGGCCATTACGAGTGCGAAATCCGGCACGTCAGGTTTTTCCAGATTAGATCTGCCTTGCGTACTCTTTACCCAGTTCGCGAGATTTAAGCTCGCGAGGTGCACGGAGGGGATTCTCGTCGTATGATAGAGTCGTTGACACGCTCGACCTCGTTATATCTTCATCGTCGAAGGTCCGCGCGCGCGGCACGGTATTTCTCTTAGGTGCACGACTAAGGTCGCCCGAGTCATCTCCAGTACTACTCTTTTTCTACGCGAGGTGTGTGCAGGCACAGGTACGTTTTTCGCGAAAGCCACGAGCGACAACAGGCACCGTTACGGCATCTCTACAGCGGTATGTACTCGTTTCTTGTCACGATCGACAAATTCCAATATCCGTTATCGACATCACGATTTCGTTCGAGGTGAGAGTCGTGTCTTACGTTGCTAATTATCCGGTTTTATCGCGGATCGTATTTTTTTTTCTGCCATCGGATCGTTAATAGACCATTTTTATCGTAACATAGATTTCGCAGCCTAAAGCAGATTCGCGTGTTTGCATATAAAAAAAGGACACTGTCTTCAAAATAGTTGTAACATCTTATTTCCTTTTGCTTGAACCTAATTGCTTGATAAACTTTGTAGGCAAAAGGATCGATGGAAAAAAAGTTACGAGAGAATTTTATCGGTGACGAGTGATTCCTTTCAAGATTAAACAAATTGGAAGCGTAAGAAATCGAGGAGGTAAACGGCAGTGTCTGTTTAAAAGTTTTTAATAAAAACATTTGAATAATAAATATAACACGGAGGCACACCGCGTTTTACGTGCTTTGCCTCCGCGTTTTGAATCTGACGCCCGGAACATTTATTTGCTCGATTGCTTTAAAGTCGCTGTGTGACTTTATTCGAGAGTTCGGTGGGATAAGCTGCGGAATGTCTCAGCGATCAGTGGCGGACAGTACGTTTCCGGTCGAGCACAGTCAACAGACGCAGCGGGAGAAGCCTCGCGTTCTCCGTCCGGCGAGAGAGTCCGGCAAGATCCGGCTATTTTTACCCAGTCAACCTTGAACTTGCTGCCGCCGCCGTCGCCGCTCTTGCTGCTGCTGCTGCTGCTGCTCCTGCTGCTGCTGTTACTGCTGTTACTGCAGTGATCTGATCACCAATAAAGAGACTTATCTAATTCTGAGAAAGGCGATCGTCCGTTGCGACTAAGGGGCATAGGTAGGTACTCACGTTGTATATCCGTCGACCCGGTACCACGAAGGCGTACGTAACGTGACGTAGACTTAACAACTTATCGGCAGGCACACATGTCGGAGATGTGCCTCCCGACGATGGTTGCGAGCCATTTAGCACTTCACATCGTGCGACTTCTATTTTACGATTATTTTCTTACGTATCTTCTACATATGATGAATCTACGAATTATGATAGCGTCCAAAATTTTAATGGAAACCTTTTGTTACATTTGCTATAGAAACTGATTCTTTATCATCAATGTGCACGATTCTTACCAGACATGTTTCAGACATTCTTCTTAAGTTTGCTCGTTTTTAACACCGATTTAAATTTAACGAAAGTTATACGAGCCTCCGATATTCGGAGATAAAAATATTTCGAATTTACAATACGTAAATTTAATTCACACAGCCGTGTGAATAAAAGCGCGCTTGAGCGAGGGAGAAAGAAAGAGCACGAGACGGCCAACGCGAGAGTTATGCAGTAGCGGCCGAGATAACGTAAACTCGCTATCTGATCGGACAATGCATCTCGCGATACGCGCACTGGCGAACGGGGTGACCCGCATACCGACTTACCTCGTCCTCCGGTCGGGCTGATGCAGCAAGGATGAGCTTGCGCTGCCCCGCGCCACTCGGTATCGCCGATCGTCGATACCACAGCACGGCGATCTCGTCTGTTGAGATGCGATATGCGAATATCGTGCGCCAGAGTCACCCGAGTATCTCTGCAGTCGCTTGGGCTCGATAATAAATTTCAAGTCGGTCTTTTTGCGGGAGGCGAGATCTATCTCGTAGTTTTTCAAGACTAAGCCTCTCGACGGTAAAGATTTTGAATATAATTTAACAAATGTTTAGTATGGAATGAAACTATTATTCATCTGTGCGTTTATGGACTGAGAAATTTGTCGAGTGCACTCGCAGACGCTTACAACATTTTAGATTGGCCGAAAAGTACAGAGTTAATTAACAAATTAATCAAGTTTATAAGACACTCATGTGATAAACGCAAATTTGGAGTAATAGAGACTAAAGAGCCGCGACAGGATGCTAGTGTCTAAATAATTCTTATTTTAAATTTATTACGAAAAATGTACCTCAGCCAGGGTTTGAATCCGGACCTCCCTCTCGTGTGATAAACATAGGCTCTCACGTGATAAACTCACATTCGGAGGAATAGAGACTAAAGAGCCGTGACAGGATGTTAGTGTCTAAATAATTCTTATTTTAAATTTATTAT